TTTACTGCTTTTCCTAGAGATCTGGACGTTCCTAAACTTTTTCTTTTAGTAAGTTTTGCGAAGTAATCCTCACACTTAGCAATGCAATCCTAAACTTTGTTCTTTTAGCAGGTGTTTTAGTTTCTCAAGATGTGGAGATGGATTATTCGTCATAATCTCTAGAAAAAGCTTTTGGGAGCAGGATATTGAAACAGAAAAATTTTCCTAAGATGAAACTTTTAAGGACATCAAAGACATTAAGCGCATCGGAATTGAAATTTGAAAGTCGTTTCTATAACTATAACTTTTACAGCCTAGCTCAGATGTGCAATAAATAAGGCTGAGGTTTCTTCGAATTATGTTAATGCATCAGGCCTGTGAATTAAAGGCTGCAATACATAGTTTTAATAATATTTGGCACATTTATCAACTATGTGCATGCAAAATTACTTGTTTTACAAATAATACATAAGAATGATTTCGAAAACCTTTTGATCCCTCAGTTTTTAGGCAACCAAAGTTTAGCAAACCCTTCTTGCTTACGCGATAATTTTGAAAAAATNAGGCTGAGGTTTCTTCGAATTATGTTAATGCATTAGGCCTGTGAATTAAAAGCTGCAATACATAATTTTAATAATATTTGACACATTTATCAACTATGTGCATGCAAAATTACTTGTTTTACAAATAATACATAAGAATGATTTCGAAAACCTTTTGATCCCTCAGTTTTTAGGCAACCAAAGTTTAGCAAACCCTTCTTGCTTACGCGATAATTTTGAAAAAATGTCTCATTGACTATTATCTATGATCAATTCAAATAACGTTTTTTAAATAAAGCTTTTAAAAAGTGCCTTGTAATCGCTGTTTTCATAGTCCAGTACTGTAAAGCATTCCAGCAACAGCCCATTGTGAACCAGGAGGGAAATGACTCCTCATGGAGGTTGAGACTTCCCAATTTTATGACCGACTGCGTGATTATGGCAATGTGGTCAGCACTGTGCAAAGGTCATTTTTATTTCAAAGAAAAGCTGGTAATCAATATGCTGCCGAGTAGGCTTCCAGCAGTCACTGGGGATCGAACTCCGATCTATCACAATGACAGCTCAGTGCCTTAACCACTGAACCATCACGGCTGTAGCACAACCTTGACTTCTACTAAAACTCAAGTTTTTGAAAACCTCTAAAATTATGATATTTGAAGTAACAGCGCTTGCAATAAAAAGTTGCTTCACTTATTCACACGTGTGAATCTTTAAATTCGAAGTGCGACGTGTGTGAATCTTTAAATAAAATTGAGTTTGCTAGAAAAGATGCTTTAGAATCTTGCTATATTTGTTTTTTATTTATTGAAAGAAAAGCAATCATACTTGATAGCTCATTGCAGAATGTAATGTTTTCGCTAATTGTATTTTTTAATTAATTGGGGTCGAAAGTTTAATAACCTACAGGCTATTATTTTTACTGTTAATATATGTTCCTTGTTATAATTCTTTATAGATGTCTGTTATAATAGACAATTGTGTCAAAACGGAGGCACGTGCAGAACCACATCTCCTAATAAGTATAAATGTGACTGCAAAGCTCCATATAATGGAACACGGTGTGAAAAATGTTGTACAGAATATTATTCACATATTCATTTTGTATATAATGGCAGATTTTGTTTTGTAATGCTATATTCATTACAGTTCATATATTGTGAAATTATATTTTGATTGGATTTTTCCATTCCATGTCATAAAATGTTCGTGCGGTTTTTAAATAATTTATTTTGAAAAAAATTTCAGATCCTTGTTCTGAAAACCCGTGCAAAAATGGTGGAACTTGCACTTTTAATGAAAAAGGCTTCACTTGTAAATGCAAGCAGCCCTACAGTGGGCCAACATGTCTGATAGGTAAACACAATATTTTAAATGTCATTTTTTACTTTTCTTTCAGAAATGGATAGGTTGCTATCATTTAATATCATGAAGTATATCTAAAAATTTTAGTTTTCAGTTGCCAGGCAGTGGCCAATTGATTCTAATAACATAGTATCCACTTTTTCCTAAAATATAATGAGTACGAGACTGATATCGATATATGAATTTAGTAGCCACTTTTAGCAAACTTCTTTTTTTGCTTGGATAAAATAATATTTAAAAAATATTATGCTAGAAATAATCTGGTGTTATAATAAGACAGCTGAATGAAAAATAATATGAATATTTGACAAAATTTAGTTAAACATGCTGATTTTAAGAAGCTTGATTTAAAAAATATTTAGAGAGGCAGAAGTATACTTTACAATTTTGAAAAATGTGAATTTTTATAGAACTCTCCTTCCACGTGAATTTTTTCATCAAAAAGTGATGGGTTCTGAAAAATAAAAATTTTGAACAGAGAGTTTGGACGTTTAAATGAAAATTCTGCTTTCCAGAGTATTTCTGCTTTGATGTACTCATATATATTAAAAATTTTAATAATTTTCGAAACATGTAAAAACAAAACAATGAGAAAAAGTGACCAGTTGTTTGTTTAANGGTTAAATAGTTTATTTTGAAAACATTACAGATCCTTGTTCTGAAAACCCATGCAAAAATGGTGGAACTTGTAGTTTTAATGAAAAAGGCTTCACTTGTAAATGCAAGCAGCCCTACAGTGGGCCAACATGTCTGATAGGTAAGCACATTGTTTTAAAAGTCATTTTTTATTTTTCTTTCAGAAATGGATAGGTTGCTATCATTTAATATCATGAAGTGGATCTAAAAATTTTAATTTTCAGTTGCCAGGCAGTGACCGGTTGATTCTAATAACATAGTATCCGCATTTTTCTAAAATATAATGAGTACGAGACTAATATCGATCGATGAATTTAGTAGCCACTTTTAGCAAACTTCTTTTTTTGCTTGGATAAAATAATAATTGAACAATATCATTCTAGAAATAATCTGCTGTTATAAAAAGACAGCTGAATAAAAAATTATATGAATATTTGACAAAATTTAGTTAAACATGTTGATTTCAAAAAGCTTGATTTAAAAAATATTTAGAAAGGCAAAAGTATACTTTACAACTTTGAAAAATGTGAATTGTTATAGAACTCTCCTTCCACGTGAATCTTTTCATCAAAAAGTGATGGGTTCCGAAAGATAAAAATTTTGAATGGAGACTCTGGACGTTTTAATGGAAATTCTGCTTACCAGAGCATTTCTGCTTTGATGTACTCATGTATACTAACAATTTTAATAATATTCAAAATATGTTAAAAACAAAACAATGAGAAGAAGTGACCTGTTGTTTATTTAAGTGGCTACTTTTCTTTTGTTGACTCACTAGGTGGCGAGTAGTTAGTTTCAGGTATATCATGACCTATAAAAAAAACTTTGATGTGCAAGAAATTTCAATAGATTTAAAATTTGGAAGAAAAACTGGATTTCTTGCAAAACATTCTGCTCTACATGGATCAGATGTGCTAGAGTTAAAGTAAAGTGAAAAATAAGCCTGTCAAATTAGCCAAAACCAAACTTAAGCTGCCATATTTTCTTTTTTTCCATTCTGCCTCTGATTCCGTACGAATACATTTACAACTCTCCCGTCTCGAAAAGGTTAACGAAAAAGAAAATTTCTAAGTCACTCTGTACATATTCTCTTTAATACAACCTCGCGAAAATGAGTCAGATGTATTCAGATCTGGAGAATATGGTGGCCAAGTGAGCCCCAGTTCTGTGGCCTTTAGGTTCCCCAGATCCAGAATTCTGTCCCCAAAATGCTCACCCGGACATCAAACACTCTCTTGCCCAGATGGGGTCTAACTNATACATTTGCTGATTACATATTGATATATTGCTTGTATTGTTATGATGAACAAACTGGTTTTTGATATCAGTCTTTCATGATGATTTAATACGGCTTCAGATATGACTTTATGTAATTTTAGTATATGCATTAATTTTGCTTCTAAAATCTAGGTAAAACATTCTCTTTAAATCAGTGTTTGCATGCAATATTGATTGATACAAATTATATTTTCATTTTATTTGTATCATCATGCCCAAGTACGTTGCAAATGGACAATGCTCATAAAAATTTTTGTTTCTGTGCAATATTATTTAATACACATTATATTTTTATTTTATTTGTATGACATTTTACTTTGCCCGTATACGTTATAAATGTAATAGGCATTTTTATTTCATATAATAATTTTTAAAAAACATCCGCACAAATTTTGCTTCTGCAATTAATCTGGAACAAGCTCCTCAAATGTGTGAAATATTGTTCGATACAAATTGCATTTTTTTGTATTACAATTCACTATTATATTATAAACGTAATAAACATTTTAATTTTATTCAATTTTTTTGATAAGTATAATCATTAATTTGTATTTACAATTAAGCTGTACCAGGCTCCAATTTATACTTGTGTACAATATTGTATGATACAAATTATGTCTTTATTTTATTTTTATCACATTTTACATTGCACTCTAAGTTACACATTTTTATCTTATATATTTATATATATATGAATCAATTTTGCTTTAATCTGGGACATTCTTTTCAGATCTGTATTTGTGTGCAATATTGTTTGATACAAATTATATTTTTATTTTATTTGTATCACAATGCACTATTACGTAATAAATACATTTTTATTTTTATTGTTATCTTTTAAAAAGTAAATGTCTTGACTTTGCTTCAACAATTAATCTGTACCATGCTTATCATATTTGTGTATGTGTACGATATTGTTTGATACGAATTAAATTTTTATTTAATTTGTTTTACATTTTTCATTGCACTAACACGTTATAAATGGTACAGGCATTTTAATTTTGTCCAATTATTTTTAGTAAGTATATTCATTAATTTTACATCTGCAATTAACTTGGACCATGCTCATCAAACTGCATTCAAGTGCAATATAGTTTGGTAAAAATTATGTTTTTATTTTATTTGCATCATATTGCACTGTTATGTCATAAATCTATTAGATATTTTATAAAATTGTCTCTTAAAACTTACATAATTTGATTTTGCCTCTACAATCAAACAGGACCATGTTCTTCCAATCCTTGTCAAAATGGAGGAACCTGCAAAGTAAACATAAATGCTTACAACTGTACTTGCCCAGTTCAATACACAGGAAATAATTGCGAATTGAAAGGTAAAAATTGTCTATGAGACACAATTAAGTGCATACCTTCCAACACTCTTTACGAGAATGAAATTTCTAAGTGGTAGTAAAACAATTAGCGAGAAACAATCTTACTCAGAAATATATTTATATTTTGGCCAAGTTGAAATTTGCTACAGTAATGAGTATTATGCGTTCATATATTTATTGTAATTGGTGATGCAATGGTAGTCAAACTTATTTACAATTATTAAGATTAAAAATGTTTAATGAAATAACAAGAGTTTTGTTACAACTTTAAAAATGAATATAAAATCTTTTGGGAAAACTGGATGAGTAGGCAACTATGAAAATGTATTTTTGGGTCTAAATAACACCTTCTCATTTTGTGGCAGAGTTCTTTAAAAGCGAAACTGATTGCAGAAAGACGATACGATGCGGAAAATTATAAATAATGAGCGTTGGGCTCATGTTTAAGAGTTAGTGAGTTTGATCCCCACCACTCAGTCTCTCAGTGTAACTGTTACTCGGTAAATATGTCGGGTAACTGAGTCCTTCTTGTTCCCAATACATTTCATACCTATGGGGTTACAAAATTGGAGATTAATCGTTCTCTGGTTCAAGTCAAAATAAAGATCTGTTGATGAATAAATGGATACATTGCAAAAGCAAACTTGATTTTTCATTCATCGATGCCAATATTTAAGCTAGGAGCGTTGTAAAGGTATAAATTTCAGCAATATGCGAAGTAAAAAGGATGTCATGACTTGGAAAATTGCTGACAATTCTGATTATGCTTCATATTGGTCAATAAGAGTAAAGAAATGTATAAGGTGTAACAAAACTGATATTCAAAACTGATAGTATTTATAGAACTTACCAAAACAAACACTTTCACTGAAAAGCAAAAATAGTGAAGAGAAGGCCTTTGTTTAAAAATTCGGTTGATTTGCTTTCAATCCTAATTTTTTTCCCACTGGGAAACTCACGATTTTGTGGAGAAAAAAAAATTCTACATCCGGTTTATCTTATGTATAACAACATGATTATCTAAATACCTAAACTGAAGAAAGATGTGCAACAATTTGTATTTTTTAAAATTTTTGAGATTTTTACAAGTTTGTTACGTTTTTGCGAAATTTCTGTAATGACCAACATACAAAAACCACCTCGAAACAGCTTTAAAATATTAATTAAAAACGTTACAAGATTTGCTATTTTTTTCTTATTTATAATCCAAATCTAGTAAAGTGTTTAAAGAAACTGCAGTTAGGAAAAATAAGGAATGTTTTCATATGTAGGTACATTATAAAAAACATTTAGTACATGTCATATCCTTTAAAAATACATTAAATTTATATACATTAAAAAAATTAGGGATATTTATTATGCTCAATAAAAATAAATAATTTTGGCATCTCGGGGCGTACAAATATACTTGTATTAATAAACTAAACGTTAAAAACACTGCATATGCCTTAAAAAAATTTAGTTTTTATGGCATAATAATTTTAATTTTCTGCTGTCATTGTTTCAATTTTTTATCTGAATAATATGCACTTGAAAGTTATGGTTTCCTCAGATTTATTAATTTTCTACAGTTTTCATCTGCATTCATGTCCATTTCAGATGTTTGTTATAATAAACAACTGTGCAAAAATGGTGGTACTTGCAGGACAACAAAACCTAATAGGTATAAATGTGACTGCAAACCTCCATATTCTGGTCGACTCTGTGAAAAAGGTTGTATTTCAATGCTTTTTGTTAAACGCTTAAAAGAGAAGTGTGCATGCGTGAAAGCGTTAGGAATATAATGGGATAGTAGCACCGTCGTTAGAGGTTATAAGTAAAGGTATCTAATTAATTAGTTGTGAAGAAACGGATACTTCCATAACAGAACAAAGCGCAGTAATATTAATTTCTCTCACAAATGAGGAGCGTAAAGCAGAAATTTGTCATGGAATTTCAGCTGTTTAGGGATGTTTCCAGAAAAGAGAAACGTGCAGTAATAATCATTTTAGTGGCAACTGAAGAGCTTAATTGGGAATTTTGTCACTGGGTGGTTTCTGTTTATGGATGCCTTCGGAACAGAACAATGCGCAGTAATACCATTCTAGTAGCAATTGCTGAGCTTAATGGAAATATTTGTAATTAAATGACTACTATTTATGGATGGACCGGAACAAAGCAAACTGATGCAATACCAATTTCAGAAGCAATTTCAAAGCTTTATAAGAAAATTTGTCACTGATTTGCTGCTGCTTATGATTGCCACCAGAACATAGCAATGCGCAGTAAGTCCAAATGTAGTAGCAATTGAAGAGCTGAATGAGGAAATTTCTCACGCAATGGCTGCTGTTTATGTTTAATACTGTGTAGGATAAAGGGCTGTGGACAGAACAAATTATTTAAAAGCTTTTGGGAATGTCTTACATTATTATCGAAAATTCGAAGTCCCAGTTAATTCATTGAAGATAATGTATAACTTAATACTCCTCATTACTAATGATTATAACTCTTACCTGTCTATAACCATGAATGTTAGCATTGCTATTGCCACTGTTATCATAACGCTATCACAAGTGTTCACTTTTTACTTGTGTAACTTTTATATAAAGTGATTCTTACAATTTTTATTCATTTGCTGATACAATCTATTGCTTGTCGTATTTCTTATTGTCATGATGTTCAATCTGGTTTTATGTCAGTCCTTAATGATGATTTAATACGGATTGATAATTACCATTTCTTTTCTTTGCAATTTAAAAATAATTTAAGTGGTTTTAATTAATGATTGTTGATAAATGTGACTAATTTCAATATTATTAGAATGACTAACTTCAATGAAGTTATGAAGTATGATTCTAATATTCAATTTTATGTTCATATTTAATTTAAAACATTTGTAAGTGTATATTCTTAATGTATAATATGAATTCGTGAAGTATTCAACAAAATACTTAAATATTATATTTGGGTGATAAAATGATTAATAATTATTATAATTTAATTAAAATAATTATAATAATAATTCTTAATTAATTATAATAATTCTTTGACTAAATGAGATGTAGAACCACATCTTCATTACCAATTTTAATAGGTGACACACAAAGGGTATAAATTTTTAATCAATGCCCTCACTAACAATATATTTCCTTTGTCATTTTCATTTTTCAATTTTTCTCTAGAACTGATCATCATTAATTAAGAAATGAATATTTTCTGAACACTATTTTGAAATTCATTCATGGAAAGACAGTTTCTATTAACCTTTTGCCTACGGCACCAAATAGCACCCGCTATACTGCACCATTAGTTGTACTAGCCATAAGCCAAAGGTTAGCCTTTTATTATTTTGGGATGTCAGCAAAGTTCTTCTTTAACGGCAAGGACAGAAGCCCTGGTCTGTGCCTCAGTATTTCATCTAAAGGTGAAGAGCCAGCATCAGAAGACCAAGTTGCTTGAAAAAGCAATTTAATTTAACAATGATTGAAAATAGTCTCGATTACTCTTAGATTTTCAAGGAAATCAGTTTTTATATTTTTAAAAGCTTTTATGCTAGTTATCTGTGAGTAATGATAACTCAGAACTTTTTTTTGAACAGTATCCATTGCTTTTGTCACAATGCGACATATGATGCGACCTAAAATGCAACTTATAATGTGGAACTAAAATCTTGTTATTCAGGCAGGTGATTTTTCAGTATTTTTTTAGCTCTGATTTCAGTCTATTTTTGTATAATTGCCACAAAATATGCTCACGAAAAGGCATTTTCCCCCCAATTTAGTAGTTTTCATTCTGAGTGTGTACACGTCTGTTTAATGTTGATTGAAAAACTGAGCAGTTAAACTAAAATTCTTTAATACTAAGTGAAAATAAAATTCAATTCTGCTAACAAATGCCATTGAATTAGCGTTACTCATTGCTAGTAGCAGTTTTAAGGAGTTTAAAATTATTGGTAAATTACTGATAGCTTCTGAATATAGCTCATTGTAAGTTTCATTTCCCTAAGGAATTGATTCACAAAAGTTATTGCATGAATGTAGGGGAGATAAAAAAAATTGCAAACAAGTACATAACAATAAGTATATTAGATATCTTGTTGGTATGAAAAGGATAAATGCATGGTCTATGACAGGAGCTCACACGTTTCTTCAAGTTGCAACTTTTTATGAGATTTTCAATTGTTTCACGGTTGTCAGTTCAGATAACATATGCATGTGGTATAATATTAATCAAATACAAAATGCGTACCTGCCAACTTGCACGAGCGTTGAAAAAGATTGTACCAAGTGGTAGTAAAACAACAATTTAATTAGGAGGGAACTTTTTAAAACTACAACTATTAAGACATCTAGCGAACGAATAGATGTTATATTCATAATTTTTCAAATAATTGATTTGTCCTGGTAGTTTAAAATTTTTTTCATAAATTTTAAATATTTAATACGCTATAATGCTAATGTTGCTACCACTACGAAAATTGTTTCTCAACGGTTGTACAAGTTGGCAGCTTTGGTTATGTACGTTTCATTTGCTTCTACAGAAGAAACGAAACCTATGGAAATAAGTTGTGACCCAGTGAGTCCAGTCCATAAGTGTCCCGGTGAGTCCATAAGTATGAGTCCAGTCGAAATATCTAAGTTGTCAGTAAGAAAGTATTAATAATAATGTAACTATTAATAATGTAAAAGAAAATAGTATATGGAAAAAGAAATTACCATCCACACTCGAAGATATCACCATCCACTATATGCATAATTTAGACTATGTTTTCCTCTGGATATGATAACTATACAAGATATCCTTTTCAATAGAAAACAACCATTTTTATGTGTTTTTTGTGCGCTTTTCTATCGACTATTTTATGTTGGATAGTGTCTTACTTTCATTATCTTACAAATTCTTCATGTTTATTTTTTTTTTCTTTTTATTTTGCAAATGAAGTCAGCGCATGTTCATCTAATCCTTGCCAAAATAAAGGAACCTGCATAGAAGACAAAAATAATTCTTACAAGTGCAACTGTACTGTTCCTTACATTGGGAAAAATTGTGAACTGAAAGGTAAATCAAAAATTATACAAAATTGCAAAGCAATTTTTTAAACATTGCTCAGACTTGTGTTTTTTTTTCTTTTGTTTTGAAGTGAAAAAAGGTTTTAAATGCATTGACTACAAATAGTTAATCCGTAACTTTTAAAAATACCCCTAAGGGCAGCATATTGAAGTTATAAGAATGCAAATGCTAATATTCAACCAGTTTAAATGGGTTCAAACAGTTAAAATTTAAAATACACTTACTTAATATATTTCAAATCGAAGTTAAGGATTCATATAATTTTTTTTTTAAATCAGGAACTTGCAGACAAAAAACAAAGGCAATATTTTTCCCTTCTTATTTTCAACATAAATTACTTAAGTGCTTAGTTATTAAAATTCACTAAAATGTCCCTCATACTCTTTATCAATTCCTACATCCATTATGAAAAACTCCACTTATTATTCTGTCACAAAGTAACATGTTAGGTCAACATAGAAACAAGTTAGAAAATCAAAATACTAAAATTTTGTAAGTAAAATTGTTCGCACATTTTTTTTTTTTTTTGCTTAAGTCTGTTATTTTAAGAATCAGAAATTGTTTAGTAAATGAATGTTAGGAATGTCAGATCCATTGACTATTATAATGTATCTTAATCTAATCCCCGGCCTTAATATTTGGGTGAAATATAGGATGTAGAGATTTTTCACATTATACAAAGTGCGCCAATTAATTTTCTGTATTGATCAAATAACTCCTGAAAATATTGTGAATTAGATACCAGTTNAAAAATATAAAACTGGTAATCAAAGTATTTTACTTGCAGTTTATTTGAGGGCGGAGTTATAATTGATTGATTTATTTAATTCACCAATACTTTGTACAAAATGAAACTATTTAGTTATACTTTGAATTAACATTGATTATATATATGATTAAACTAACAATAATGAAAGAAAAAGCAAAGTAAGTCTGTCAAATTAGCAACGACTGCATTTAAGTTACCGTTTTTTATTTAATTACAACTTGATTCTGATTTTGTACGAATGCTTTTCCGAATCACCCGTCCCCAAGGGGTTAATCTAATCCCCGGCCATAATATTTGGGTGAAATATTGGATGTAGAGATTTTTCACATTATACAAAGTGCGCCAATTAATTTTCTGTATTGATCAAATAACTCCAGAAAATATTGTGAATTAGATACCAGTTTAATCTTACGAAGTAACCTCCACTTAGCAGTACGTTTCTGTACTCCCATGTAAAATTTTCAGAAACAACTTTTACTGCTTTTCCTAGAGATCTGGACGTTCCTAAACTTTTTTCTTTTAGCAAGTTTCGCGAAGTAACCCTCACACTTAGCAATGCAATCCTAAACTTTGTTCTTTTAGCAGGTGTTTTAGTTACTCAAGATGTGGAGATGGATTATTCGTCATAATCTCCAGTAAAAGCTTTTGGCAGCAGGATACAATCTATTGCTT